AATTTGATGTGGCTATTTGGTCCACTGATGCCCATGCCTACTCCAGATCTTACTGTCTTTGAAGCATCGGTGTACCAGGCTAGGGCTCCTCTTTTTAGTTGAGGCCCTCCTTTCGCCCAATCATCCCTGCTACTAAATATGACCTTATACGGTTGGTTGAAATTGTATTCCGTCGGTATAAGGTCCGTTTTAATTTCAATCAGGTGATTTAGACATGGGTCTTTGAGGATCTCGAGGTGTCCTCTGAGATTACCCTGCATCAACTTGAGTGAAGAAACTGTTTTCAGTGATAAGGCACTTAAGGCTGCCTCCTTTTGTATATATAAGTGGAGCGGTGTGAGACCGAGTAGGGCTTCCAAAGCAGCCGTCGGACAGGATCTCATTGCACCCGTTATGTTAAGACATGCTAAGCGCTGGATTTATGCCAGCTGTTGTTATGCTGTCTTATGTTTTGTTTTTGGCCACCAAATCAATGAGGCGTAGACGATCATGTGTCTGATTATTGCTACGTAGGCCCAATGAGCCATTCGTGGTTTGAGACCCCAGTTCCTTCCTAGAATAGGAAGTTCCTTATCTAAGTGTAGGTAGGCCTAGGTATTAGTTTCTGTTTTGAGGTTAATAGTTTTGTTTTCAAAGGAGGGTGCTTTTATTTGTAGCTTCCTTCTCCGAGTGAAGTTGACTATTTCGATTTTATTGGGGCCCATTGCTTCTACACCAATGCCCGGTTTCTCGTACATTATAATATCGAATAGATATCGGAGCAATAGTTATCGGATCGATATCTTTTAACGGCTTGGCCGGTTTCTCGTACGAAAATGCATGTAGATATCGAACCGATATTGCGCTGTTGATCGATAACTATGGCGATATCGGTCATTTGGGTTTCTGAAAGGGTCGATAGGAGATATCGGACCGATATCGGATCGATAACTATATCGCATGCAACAAGCACCGATATCGACTCGATAAGTGTGATTAATGACAGTGATGTGTGTTAAAAGNAGGGGTACAGGTACGTGCGTTATTAGAAGCATTGCTAATGATAGTAGTAATATGGTTATAAAGTTAAACAATGTTTTATATGTACCGAATTTAGATAGCAATTTAATTTCAGTTAGTAATCTAGTAAGTAAAGGGTTAGAAGTTATATTTAATGAAAAGGGAGGTTTTGTTAAATGTAAGGATAATATAATAATGAAATTTAATAAGTTAGGTAAACTATTTGTGTTAGATTTCGGTGAAAAAACATATAAAATATCATTGCCAATAATTAAAAGATGCGTACATGAATGGCATAAGGTTTTAGCCCACCGAAATTTCACTGATATAAAGAAATTACAGTTATTATATCCTGAAAAGATTAATATTACAAGTTGTAACTGTTCAGATTTATGTGAAGAATGTTTAAGAACAAAGATGACGCGACAGTTATTTATTAAAAGTAATAAAACCGAAAAAACAAATCCGATAGATTTACTTCATTCAGACGTTTGTGGTCCAATAGAAGTTGTAACGAATCAAGNAATCAAACGAAATAAAATATCCACAAACATGGTAAAGAAACAAGCATGGGATGAACAGTTTAATCAAAATTCGCAATCTTTTAACACACATCACTGTCATTAATCACACTTATTGAGTCGATATCGGCTTGTTGCATGCGATATAGTTATCGATCCGATATCTCCTATCGATCCTTTCAGAAACCCAAATGACCGATATCGCCATAGTTATCGATCAACAGCGCGATATCGATTCGATATCGACATGCATTTTCGTACGAGAAACCGGCCACAAGTACTGGTGAGTAGTAAGGCTTTCTGCATTTGCTGAGTTATAATTGAATCATATTTACCTCGGATTGTGATTACCAGGTCATCAGCATATCCTTGTATCTTAAATCCGTTTTTAGTTAGGGTGTTCATCAAGTCATCAACTACCAGGCACCATAATAGAGGTAATAGCACTCCTCCTTGAGGACATCCTCTTAGCGCCTTTATAGTCAGCGACTCGCCTTCCAGACTGGCTGTGATCTGCCGACTTTTCAACTTGGCTAAACACCACTTGATTGTCGACGGATGTATGTGTTTTACGTTTAGAGCTTTCTCTATGGATTCATATGAGGTCTTATCAGGGCTATCTCTTTGGTTGCAATTGCCTCCTCTAAAGTGCTAGTCAAAGCATGGAGAGCGGTAATTGTTGATTTTGCTTTTTGGTAAGCATGTTGGCTAGGGTGGAGTGGATTAGTGACAAGCACTTCATTCCTAAGGTATTGATCGATTACCTTTTCCATCCCTTTGAGGAGAAATGAAGTTAGGCTAATTGGTCTGTATGCCTTGGAGTTTGAACGCCACCTTTACTTTCCTACATAGAGTGGATATATAGCTAAAGCTGTAGCTAGCTTTGTAGCAAGCCTTTTTGCAGAAAAATAGGCAGAAATCCATCTCCTCCAGGCGATTTTAGGGGCTTGAAATTAGATTGTTGGGTGTGAAAATGTTCCCAGCTATGCTGCTGAACCCTACCTGATGGACGGGTTATGTCCATTACGTCAGGGTCAGCATCTGCGTGTGGGCAGACTTTTAAGGAAGGAAAGTATGTACTCAGTAGGAGCTCCAACGACTCCTTAGCATCCTCAGTGTATTTACCATCTTGTTTGTATAGGTGGCCTAGATCAGAGTTGTGATCTTTTGCCAAGAGGCAGACGAGCAATTATAGGCGTATAATAATAATAAATAATCGTGAGCCATTCGTGGTTTAAAACCCCAGTTCTTTCCAAGTAGCCTGCGGTAGATCTGATTTGCCATGATGGTCTTTTTCTTTGATTATGTGGGAGTTCCAGTTTAATTTACTGTCGAATATTACCCCTAGGTATTTGACTTATGTTTTGAGGTTGATAGTTCTGCCTTCAATGCGGGATGCTCTCGATTGTAGCTTTTTTTCCGAGTGAAAGGGACTATTTCTACTTTGTTTGGATTAATGCCGAGCCCATTGCTTCTGCACCAAGTGCTAATAAGTAGTGGGTCATTCTGCATTGGGTTATCATTGTGTCATATTTATCTCGGATTGTGATTACCAGGTCATCAAGCATCATAGGATCGGGGACTTCCTCTAATTGTCTTTATAGTTCAAGACTGGTTGTGATCTGCCGACTTTTGGCCTTTTTGTCTGGCTATTTATGAACGTAAATAGGGATCATACTGATTATGGAGAGCAGTAATTGTTGATTTTGCTTACTGATAAGTATGTTGGTTTGGATGGAGTGGATTGGTAACAAGCACTCCATTTCTAAGGTGATCAATACCTTAGAAATGGAAATTATTTATCTAGATTAATTTATGTTTGTATTAATTTAGGGTGTTGCAAAATTCGATGGCTGCCACATACGAAGATCGAGGACCGATTCAAAACTTTCGAATAGAAATGTCCATTTTCTACATCGTTTACTTCATAGTGTTCCCGTTCTTCTTTGTAAATATATTCGTTGCCTTGATCATCATCACGTTCCAAGAGCAAGGCGAAGCTGAGTTGCAAAGTGGAGAAATCGATAAAAATCAGGTAAAAATTGAATTCAATAATTTTAATTAATTAATTAATTATTTTTTTTTAGAAATCTTGTATAGATTTTACGATACAAGCTCGTCCATTGGAACGATACATGCCAAACAAACGCAACAGCTTTAAGTACAAGATTTGGAGGGTCGTCGTTTCGACGCCCTTCGAATATTTCATTATGATGTTGATCGTTTTCAACACACTTTTGCTTATGATGAAGGTACGTTTAATTTTTTGATTTTTTTTTTGATTTCTCGGTTAATATAACAGAAATAATTTTTTTAATATCCCAAATAGTTCTTTAAAAAACGATTTTGTTTGTTATGACGAGAAAAAAGTCGGCAGCGGATGATGTTTTAGCAACCACACTGAAATAAAGACGCACACGTCCGCACATGATGTTGCCAAATACACTATCGATATAATTACAATTCACACTTTACACGATTAAATTATTTTTATTTTTTTTTGTTATTAATCCCTCTAAGTATATTGGTCAAAAATTAAAAATGAATAAATTGTGTTTAGGATGAAATTGTGAGAACACTAAATTAAATTATTTGGTGTTGGAGAACACAACAGCATGTTCGTCACTGTTCGTCACCATTTTAGTCTGTATAAAATCTTCCTTAATCCTCGAAATTTTCCCTATAATTTTTTTATTTTCAAAATAAAAACTATTTTTGTATAAAAAAAAACAAAAAAAATACCCTGTATATGTTAACAGCATGATGGTCAAACAGACATGTTCAGCGCTATTCTTAAGTATCTCAACTGGGGATTTACCAGTATGTTCACAGTGGAATGTGTGCTCAAGATCATTGCATTTGGCGTCAGGGTAAGAACACGTAGTGATTTTCTCATAATATCTCTCATTATTACAAAGTAATCTATAAAAGAAACTGCAAATAACGGCGAATTTCGTTGATTAGAAATGTTGAATGGACTTTAATTTTCATAAATCAAAAGTTTTAATAAATAGTCCTTTCAGCTCGTCTAATTTACGAGGTATGTAAATGACGTAATAAGACTGATCTTTTTTATTTAAAAAAATAGAATTACAATTCAATTCAATATTGTCTCCCTCAAAATAATTTCCTTCTGAAATTACACAGCGCTGGAGACGTTTCGGCTTCAGCTGGACGGTTACAATGTTTTCGAATGTCCCAAAATGAGTTATCTTGAGGTTATTTTTCAATCTNTCGGGCCTAGTAGAAAATAAACTCCGCCTCGTTGCTTCCGAACGTCCGTCGTCTGCGCCCCTCAGAAACTGACCGACCTGGTAAAGTGGGCTCTTAAGTATCACAAATTGTATTCTACATTGTTAATTTAGTTTTTTTTTAATTTATTTTTATTTAATTTATTTTAATCATTGTTTCTATCAGTTGTGTTAAATTTGAGGGTAATAAATATAATGTTCAAACCAGATAACATATTCGTTTTGGCATCAAAGTCTGGTAAACTGACTTCTGCTCATATGAAAAATTGGCTACAAAATGTCTATTTCCCAAACACCGGACCTAANGTGCAATTGGAGCTTTACTGTATATTGCAAATAATACTCGACCAGATATTTCTGCTTCAGTATCTATTTTAGCACAGAAAGTGACGAATCCAATGAAAAGGGATTGGATAGAAGTGCAACGAGTATTTAGATATTTGAAAAATACCATTGATTTACAATTACAAATAAAATCAAGCCCAGATCAATCAACGGATCACCTAATTGCATATGTGGATGCGGATTGGGGATCGAATTTAATTGATAGGAAATCAAATAGTGGATATTGTGTGTTCTTAAATGGCAATTTAATAACTTGGAGCAGCACAAAACAAAAATGCGTAAGCTTATCGTCTACTGAGGCGGAATATGTTGCGCTAACTGAATTAACTACAGAGCTTGAATGGTACACGAGATTATTATCAGAAATAGGCGTTAATGTAACACCGATAATCTTCGAGGATAATCAAAGTTGCATAAAACTTACCAAAAATGACCAGTTAAAGAAAAGAACTAAGNATTTCATTAGAAGATTTTCTGATCAAATTATTCTCTACCAGTACGATGTCAATTTGCATCAGCGAGATAATATTTTAAAATTGCAATCCTTAACGCATAACCAGTTGTCTTCCCCACAATTTATTAATGTTTTTAAATACGCCTGGTTTGCATCTGGAAATATAGAGGAGAGACCAGAACAGTTTGAAAATCCTGTGGTGGTTTGCTTTTCCAATGAAAAACCTACGTGCGATATCTGTGATGATATAGCTGTTATCACTTGTGCATGGTGTAAACAATCGTTGTGTTTAAAAATTTTTTTCCATGATTTTCATTATTGCCAACAATATATTGAATAAAAAACGTAAAAAAAAGAAATTAAATTAATAACGTAGAATACAATCTGTGATAGTCAACAATTCTTTCGTCAGTTACTTTTTAACTCATTATTAATAAATATTTATATAATTATCCTAACTTTTGTGTTATTTAAATAGAATGAGGATAAAAAACAATTTCCTNGTTAAAGAAAAGAACTAAGCACATAGATACGAAATACCATTATATAAGGGATTTAGTAAATAAAAATAAAATAAATATAAAATATTTACCTACTGAAGATATGATAGCTGATATACTGACTAAACCGTTAGATAAAATAAAACTTAGGAAGTTTAGGATTAATTTAACTAGAATATTCATTATAAACGTTGAGGGAGGGTGTTAGAATAATTTAGTTGATAATTATTTTGATCAACGTTTATTTTATAATAAGTATTTAGATGTTGACAATTTACATGTTGTAAGCATAGTGATATAAAAAAGTAGTTGTTGTTGTTTACGATTTTGTCATATACGAGACTCTGCTTTAAAATTGGCAAAAATAAAATTCCCGCAAAAGCCATAAAGTCGTTTAATTATTCAAGAAAGTCCATCAAAGTGTTGATTAACCGTTTGGCCTTGAAGCACAAACTGTTTGGAGCTTTGTTTTCGGGTCGTACTTAAACACCCAAGACTCGTCTCCAGTAATGATACGTTCCAGAAAATTGGGATCAATTTCAAAAAGTCAATTTTTTGGCAAAATCTGCGTAGATTTTTCTCATCCCCAATTCATTGGCCAAAATCTGATGAATCGTTGGTGTAAGTCAAATTCAACAAAATTCCAGATTCTGTCGACATTTTCATCGGTTCTTGAAGATCATCTACAATCTAGTCTTCCTTCTGAAAATGCCTTAAACCACCGAAAAACCTGGGCCCTTGACAAAACACTGTCCCGTAGCCCTGCTGAAGTTTTGCAAAAGTTTCCGTTGCGCTGTGTTCAAGNCCCAGCCACCCCTTAATGTCGTATAGGGTTTATTTTACTGCGTAAATCTTAATTTACAACTAATTTATGGTTTTCTTCAAAATATTGTTCAAAAGTGCAACAGTTTATCACATTATTCTTAAGGAAAGGGGTTATCTATCATACCCCGTAATTTTGCAGGGGATGGTCAGAGACAAATGAGAAAAAACACGTCATTAATATTTTTAAACGTACTATAAGGACATATAATATTGCCAAAATCGACAGTGCAGTTTTTAAAATATTCCAAAAAACTAGGGGTAGTTTACACCCTGAAGCCCTCAGATATATGTGTGATATATCAATGGAAAGCTCTTTGAAAATGAATATCAGTTTACATTTACCACATTTCGATAGCTATTTTCGTTTTCAGCCTATAAGCGAATATATATATTTTGCCCCAATTTCCAACCCTTATAACTCGCCCCAGGGGCTTTATTAGCACGTATAAAAAAATACGTAAACCTTATTTTTGGCCATACTATCGCTGTACCAAATTTCAACAAAATCGGTGATGGACAGTTCTGATACTTCCCTTGTGAGAGCAATAGTGAAAAGGAGCATTATTGTTACGAATAAAAGTAGCTACAATTTTCGTTCCAAAAATTTTTTTATGATATGTTTTGTTTCACGAGTGTTACCATTAACAACAAAAAAAAAAGTTAAATTCATCAAATTTTCGTATTTTTTTCGCTATTGACCCATTTTAGAGCAAAACTAAGAGAGAGCAATGTTGTTAAGAATAAAATTTGCTACAGCTTTTGTTGGAAAAGTTTTTTTGTAACATGCTCCGTTTAGCGAGTGTTATCATTAACATTTTGTGAAACTACGAATTCAGTAAATTTTCATATTTTCGCACTTTTCTCGATATTTATGCATCTGAGAGCAAAAGTGAAAAGGAGCATTATTGCTACGAATAAAAGTAGCTACAACTTTCATTCCAAAAATTTTTTTGTGAAATGTTTTGTTTCACGAGTGTTACCATTAACAACAAAAAAAAAGTTAAATTCATCAAATTTTCCTATTTTTTTCGCTATTGACCCATTTTAGAGCAAAAGTAAAAGAGAGCAATATTGTTAAGAATAAACTTTGCTACAGCTTTTGTTCTTAAAATTTTTTTGTAACATGCTCCGTTTAGCGAATTTTACTATTAACATCTTGTGAAACTACGAATTCAGCAAATTTTCATATTTTCGTACTTTTCTCGATATTTATGCATCTAAGAGCAAAACTGAAAAGGATCATCATTGCTACGAATTAAAGTAGCTACAACTTTTATTCCAAAAAATTTTTTGTAAAATGTTCTGTTTCACGAGTTTACCATTAACAACAAAAAAAAAAACTTAAATTCATCAAATTTTCATATTTTTTTCGCTATTGACCCATTTTAGAGCAAAACTAAGAGAGAGCAATATTGTTAAGAATAAAATTTGCTACAGCTTTTGTTCTAANACATGTTGTAAGCATAGTGATATAAAAAAGTAGTTGTTGTTGTTTACGATTTTGTCATATACGAGACTCTGCTTTAAAATTGGCAAAAATAAAATTCCCGCAAAAGCCATAAAGTCGTTTAATTATTCAAGAAAGTCCATCAAAGTGTTGATTAACCGTTTGGCCTTGAAGCACAAACTGTTTGGAGCTTTGTTTTCGGGTCGTACTTAAACACCCAAGACTCGTCTCCAGTAATGATACGTTCCAGAAAATTGGGATCAATTTCAAAAAGTCAATTTTTTGGCAAAATCTGCGTAGATTTTTCTCATCCCCAATTCATTGGCCAAAATCTGATGAATCGTTGATGTAAGTCAAATTCAACAAAATTCCAGATTCTGTCGACATTTTCATCGGTTCTTGAAGATCATCTACAATCTAGTCTTCCTTCTGAAAATGCCTTAAACCACCGAAAAGCCTGGGCCCTTGACAAAACACTGTCTCCGTAGCCCTGCTGAAGTTTTGCAAAAGTTTCCGTTGCGCTGTGTTCAAGTCTGAAACAAAATCTGATAGCATATTGTAAAATTAAAAAAAGGCGTATCATTCACCTGCCATTCCTCCAAGTTCTGCATCCCAAGTGTTGCCAGATCGAACGCTACGTTGCCAGTCTCATTACTTAATTTATATACCTCATAAAACTCCTTTTTCCTAAAAAGTCCCTCAAACAAAATTTTTTCTTCTCTTAATTTCTTGTAATTTTTTTCAAAAAAAAGCTGCATGTTGCATGGCAAAACTAGTTGCAAAAATTGCATGCGGGTCACGATTTTTTAGAATTTTGCACCTCAACACTTCACATTGTTTAGTTTTCCAAAAAAAAGAAAAAAAAATAAATTTCAAAAAACACTTAAATCACCACGTGCTTTAGAGCGCAAATAACTCACCTCACAGACCCACGACACTATCAAAGTACAAGAAAAACATAAAGCCACCGTTCGAAGACAAAGAAAAGAAAACGTTGTCGACTTTTTGTTTCTCGTAAAAGAAAAAATACAATATAAAAGAAAATAAAAAAAAAATACCTAAATAAAAATGAAAAGGTAGGCACGCGCTTTTTAGAGCTGCAGCTACAATCTTGTAAGTTGTTTGTAGTATCATGAGTCACCGCCATTTTTGTCCGACGTCTTGGCGGCAATGAACATATTGTTCACGTTTCTCTTCCTCTGCGAAACCGTGTTGAAACTCATCGCATTCGGTATTAAGGTAAAAAAAAGATTAAATGTCTAAATGTATCTGTAATGTCTTTGCATATTTTTGTGTGTACATTTTTTTTTTCTGTAATCAGCACCCAAATCAAATTTTAATATAAAATTATATATATAAAATTGCCGATTTCAGGAAAAATACATTATTCGATGTGCTTTTAACACTGCTTTGACACAATCCTAATCTTAAGTCCCTTTTTCTTCTTGCATTATAATATATATAAAGTAATAATTAGCATGTTATTCCAATTTCCCTCACTTCTTCACGTAGTTAGATAAAATTCGTTGGATGTTTAAATCTTTTTTTTGAATTTTTGCTGATTAATTTGATTATGTTGCAGAATTTCTTCAAAGAACCTTGGAACATTTTTGATTTCGTCACGGTGATTGGAAGTATCGTGGATGCTTTGGTCGTCGAATTTGGCGTAAGTCTTTCTTTATATTTAATTAAAATTAAAAATAAAAAAAAATGGCTTTACTATTTCGCCATTTTTTAAATTAATTGTAATTAATCGTGATTAATGGTTAAGTTTTTTTATCTCAACACAAAATAACACGACTCTTTTTTCGTTTTTTATAACCGTTTCTTCTGTTTTTGATTTGTATTTGATCGATTAAAAGGAAAGAGCGGCTAACGTTTCCAAGGAAAGAGTAAGTATTTCTCACACTGCAAACTTAGTTAATTACCTCGATTAAAAAAATTTCTTCCGCAAGGAAATAAAAGAGATTTTAAAATTAAATCGAAGAAATTGTTTTAAGTTTGAGGTTGTAGTAGCAAAAAATTTGGTCACTTTATTTTTAAATTGCATGATATAGTGTGTATATAAAAAATATTTGGCCCCTTAGTATCAATTTTTGTCCGTTGACAATCGTGAAGGCAGAATTAAAAGAATTATTAGGTGAAGCTATTTTATTTTGATTTTTTTTGCTCGATTTTTAGCACTATCACATCACATTTTTAACACGTTTTATTAGAAACAAATCGGGCTCTTAACATTAAATTTTTCTCTAAATCTTCAAATTTATGATTTATATAACGTTTTTAAGGATGTACATAATAATCTATAGTATTTTAATGTAAAATGATCGATTTTGGATCATTAAGACACCTGAAGATGAAAAAAGTTTTTCGAAACCGGTAATTTTTTAACTTATTGAATTAAATAGTTTTCTGCATACTTCACCGTGTTTTTATCTTATTGCGTTATTGACTCTCATCGTCTATTACCTGATATTAATACTTAATGATTTAAATGAGTCTCAATTCCTGAAAACATTGACTACGAATAGCATATTCTAGCGATGAATCTTCCAATTACTCCGAATAACTTCGAACACTCCACTTTTACTCAACGATTTTAAATGGGTCTCCTTTCTATTATTTTTTATTTTTCTATTACAGTGTGTTTGATTTTAGCTGTCACAGCAGATATCTTGATTATTGTTGGAGATTTGATAAAATGTTGTAGAAGGAAAGTTGCTCCATATTTAATATGCTATTACTTGCCATATTCTAAAAAGCAATTGAGTATCAAATGTGATAGATACAGCGAATAAATTTCTTACCTTGATTGTTTCGTAGACGTCGGCTGCCCCAAGTATTGTTCGTGATATAAAAAATCTCGTCTCGCCACCCCAAGTATCATGAACAATATTAAAGGCGACTGAGAGTAAAAAAGTAGCTACAACTTTTACACCGGTGTGAAGACAGCAGTAAAAATTTCCGATGATACCCGAACGCCCATAGACGTCCGTAATACCGGACACACGGGGGCTCAATTTTTTCGAACAAAAAAACATTACATTATCAACTTAAGAAGTTAATTACAGTATATTAAAAGTAATTAATATATTTATCACTAATATCAAGGTACAATCAGCAATTTTAATTAAAATAACTGGCTCCAGCTCCCTTATTGGTTCGAAGATCCGCACCAAACTTTATATACGCCTTCTAGACATGATAAGAAATATATTTATCGAAAGAAATTCCACTTGCAAAGGGTCCGCGGGGGTGAACTACCCCGCAGTAGATTATAATTTGCTCTACCGCCCTTATTCGGTCAAAGATCCGAACCAAACTTTACACAAGTGATCTAGACTACATTAGAATCAAATATCCGTTAACAATTTCCACTTGCATAGGGACCGCGGGGGTGAACTACCCACCAGTAGATTTTAATTACCCCTACCGCC